TTATAAAAGGGGAATCTATAAGATTATTTGATGTTTAATAAAAAAAAAGGGGAAAATCTAGCCGGTGAGTTGGGAATTTATAGCATAATCTAGCACTCATAGGGGGACTCTTAGGGTTAGGTATCATTCGGTGTCAGTAACCAACGAACCGAACCATCGGTATACCTACAAAGTTTTGTATTCACCATTCTAACCGAAAACGTAAACCAACAAGGTACTTTGGAAATTAGGTTTAGAGGCATATTTGGGGGAGTTTGGTAGGGTTTTTATTTTTTTAATATTATTTATGAGTTATAAATTTAAATTTTTATTTTAAAAAAATTAAAAATTACTTTTAAAAGCAATAAAAAGTGAATAAAAAGAAAATTTTATAAAAAAAAACTTAAGTTTGAAATTTTTTAAAAGTTACTATTTAAGGTTTTTTTTAAATTAAAAAAAATTTAAAAATATAAATTTAAAAAAAATTTAATTTTTTTCTGGCTCGAATTTTATATTTAAAAATTTAAACTTAAAATATTAAATTTTTAATTATTGAATCATCCTTAATGATTAAAAAAGATCCATTATCTTTAAACCAAACAAATTCTTATTTTGATGGTTCTGCGTGATAAGGAAGGACAATGATGGTCTTCATAATTTTTTTTTTTTTAACAGGGGGAATTTGGGAAAAAGGGAAATAGGATTGTTATTGTAACTTGAATTCTAGTTGAAATTAAGAGTTAAGTGTACTTGAATCAATGCAACTAAAATTGCAGTTGCGACTAGGGGTGGTAATTTTTCCTGATCCTCGCGAGGTCCCGCGGGGATCACCGTCACGGAGACAGGGCGGGGAAGAATATTTTTCCTCGTGGAGCGGGATTGGGGGGGATTTTCTCCCCGCAAAATTTTGTGGAGAATTTTCCTCACCCCGGAGGCCCCATGGGGATCCCATCCCCACGAAAAATTAAAAAAAAATATATTTTAAATTTAATTTAACCTTTAAAATAAAAGTCAAACGCAATTCAATAAAAATTAAATTTTACCCAACTCAACCCAAATACCCAACCCAACCCATCATCTTCCTTCCAACCCTAATTTCCTAACCTTATTATTTCCCTTTCTCCTCACTCACGCTACAGTGCAGCCACAACCTTCACTTCAGCCCCTCACTCACTCTCGCCTCGGTCTCAGTCGAACAATCAAACTCTCACCTCACCTTCGACCTTCCTCTCCCCTTCTTGCTTCTACAATTTCTCCTCACTCACTCTCACGGTCTCACCTTCAATTTTTTCTTTTTGTTGATTTAATTATTTATGTTAAATTAATTTTTATTTATGTTTGATGCAAAAAATATATACATTGGTATTAATTGGCAAGGATCCCCGTTCCCCGCAGAAAATGGGGATGGGGGGCAAAGTTTGCTCTTCGTCAAAAATCTCCGCGAGGATCTCCGTCCCCGCCATTCGTGGGGATGGGGATGGAGAAGGACTCCCCGACCCTGTGGGATCCCATTGACATCCTTAGTTGCGATGGTCCTCATAATTTAATTTAATTAAAATTAAAAAATATAATATTAATAAAGAAAAAAATTTTAATACATCTTAAAATTTAAATATCAAGATATCTAATCATATTTATTAAATATATAAAATATAATATAAATTTTAATTTTATTGAATTTATTATGTCATAGTTATTAAATATCTTAATATTTTAAATGTTACCAGTT